ATGAACCACCTGAAATTGTTACAATCCCAAAAACTGAAAAGCAAAATAAAACTAAGGCCAAAGGAGTTTAAGCTGAACCAGACAAAAATAGGAAGACATCTAAATATTACATACAATACACTATCACTTGTCAGTTAATTAACGAGAAGTAAAAAGGAATAATGCTAATTGGTTAATATGGTTATAAAAATGAAAGTCACAGGAGGAAGAAACTTAATCACAAAGAAGAAAAGAGAGGATGGATGAAAAGTGAAGAGAGAAATAAACAGTGTAAATGATAGCTAAAGCAGCAACAAGGTTTAGAGACAGCAATAGGGATGGTAAGCAGGAAACACTGAACAAGACAGGACACTGGAGAAAACAGCTAGCAAAAAGAACATTAAAAACTATACTAAAGGTATATAATGGTAATGGTCCCTGAAGGCATGCTATGACAAAGCAAAATCTGTACCACAACTCTGAGAGAGTATCAGCAATATCATTCAATGAGGCTTAGGTATTTCAACTATGAAACTGCCATCCGATTGGGAGTCAGGAAATGGACTGAAGAAGCATTCAGTGAGTAGAAAAGCTGCCTGTTTACTAAAATGACCCACGGGCATCATTCTATTTTGCCATATTTTAATAGGGTCAGCACTTAAAAAGTGTTAACTTCTAATCATTTAAAAATCAATTCACATGCAATTTCTTTCCCTGTCCAGCTAAATTTGATGTTTAGTACTAAACTTAAAAAATTATAGATTTCTATTATTAGTTTTTATTAGCTATTAACTTGTACATTAAATTAGTTTTAATTAGCAGGCCTCTTGTCTTTTAATTGGTAGGACACACTGAAAGGACCGGACTGGGAACCCAAGGACCTTTATTCTAAGTACAGGTAAGTTGACATAAATATGTTGCTAAATGATTCATCTGACCTCTCTCGAAGTCTGTATTTAAAGCAAGGTTAGAAACTATATACATCTTTATGTATACTACACGTGTACTACACACACACACACACACAGGTCCTTTTTAGTTCTGCAATTATTCCTTAGTGTTATGAACAATGTATCTTTCAGCAACTTAAAAATTACTTAAAAAGTTTAATAATTTTCACATCAGAGGGGGAAAAAACAGGTATTTTAAGCTGATTTTCATGAAACAGAAAAAAGTATATTCTAGTGTGCTTCTAAAACTTTAATGTCCAAATGGATCTCACCTGCCAATCTTGCCAAAATGTATTCAGCGAGTCAGGGACAGGGCAAGACTGAGGTTCTAATAAGCTCCCAGGTGATCCTAATTGTTGCTGGTCTAGGGACTGCATTTTGAGTAGCAAGGTTCTAGGATCTGAAGAAACTGTAATGCTGACAAGTGAGGCTAGCCCAGATATTATAGAATAGCGACCTGTGACCAAGAATAAAACACTGTAAGGAAAATATACCTGAAAGTCTGATGATGAAATAGATAAGGGATTTGTGTTCGTATGGAAGGTGACATGTGGGTGGAGGAACAAGAAAGCCTAAGTTGGCAAATGAAGCTCAATGAGGGGGGCTACTCTTCTATTGTTTGTATATTTGAAATGTTTCAGAAGTTAAAATTCCTTGACTAAAATATCTTACACCTAATTTCAGCATTTAAGATACTAACAGTAGTTGTTTACTTTTTACATTTTAATATTAGGAGAAAGTTGAAACTCTAACAACTTATTCAACATTTATTGAAAAAGAAGTGATTTAAAAATCTTCCCAAAATTATTTGATAAGGGGAGTATCAGTATCCAAATATCACAATCTTAAAAAATTATAGTTTATGTTGGACAAAATATTGTATCATGAATAATAGAGTACTTGCAGTATTTAGATAGAAAAATAAATTTAGGCTATAGAATACAGAACAAATTCCCTTTGAAAAGCAATCACTGAATAAAACACCATTAATTCAAGGTCACGATTACCTCTGGGGAAGGAACTAGATCAAGAAGAGATGTACACAGGATGTTCAATCTATAATGTTTTATCTCAAGTATTAAAATTATAAAGTATGGAAAATGTCTGGTGTGAAAGAATCAAGTGCTAAGTACATAGATGTTCAATATGTGTTCTTTGTATTCTTCTGAAGATTTGGACACTTGTTTGTCTTTAATGTGAATAGTCTGACACTTCAAAATCTATGCTTTTATTTCCAGCACCTAAAATGATTAAAAAAAAAAAACACCCAAAAAACCCAAACTTAAAAGGCTGTATTTTTAGGATAAAAAAGAACTATAAGATTTTTGATGGTGGCTCAGTTAAATGGTCAACTTCGGCTCAGGTCATGATCATCGTCTCTGTGCTGAAGCTCAAGGGCCTGGAGCCTTTGGATTCTGTCTCCCTCTCTCTGCCCCTCCCCCACTTGTTCTCTGTTTCTCTCAAAAATAAACATTAAATTTTTTTAATTAAAATTTTTGATAACTGATACACAGATTCTAACACTGAGGCTTAAAATTAAGATTTTCTAGAAACAATTATTTTAACTACAATAGAAACCAATGTATACTCAATTTCACTAAACAATACTGTACTGAGAGGCACAGTCAGTTAAATGGTTTACTCTTGATTTCAGCTCAGGTCATGATCTCATGGTTCATGAAATCAAGCCCGAGGTCGGCTTGGGATATTCTCTTCTTCTCTCTCTGCCCCTCCCCTGCTCTCTCTCCCCCTCAAAATAAGTAAGCTTTAAAACACCCAAACCAAAACAAAAAACACTGTACCCTCTTTTCCTGAGTGAATATATTTTCAGATTTATGTCCCATTTTAAAATATTAAATCAGTGAGGAAAATTTAATGGTCATTTATTTTTGAGAGACAGAGAAGCCCAAGCACACTGTCAGTGCAGAACCCAATGCAGGGCTCAAACTCACAAACTGTAAGATCATGACCTGAGCCAAAATCAAGAGTTGGAAGCTTAACTAACTGAGCTACCCAGGCACCCCTAACATATCTGTGTTCAATTACTGGGATATTAAGTAGTTCAAACAAAATACAAGGCTAATAGCTAATAATAATAAATCCAGTCTCCTTTCATTTGGCTTTGGGATGCATTATATATATTTGTTTTCTCCATCTTTTTGCTTTACCTGGCTGACACTTAAAATAATTTTAGATCATTAAAAATACTTCCCTGTAGCAAAAATGGCAGTAGGGTAAGATTTATCATGGACAGAGTTTACTACAGGCAAATCTGGCAGTCCTAAAACTCTGGTGGTATTACATTTCCTCCTATATAAGCAGTTTACCAATTACACAGCACTTCTGCTTTTATCTTGTTTGAGCTTCACAATAACCCTGTGAGGTGGGCAGCACGGAATTTATAGTCTGTACTTTACAGATAAAGCATACTATGGCTTAGAAAGTGACTTGTCCTTCTAGAAACTATATGGTGATCCAAAGAGAACTATAGGAACAAATTAATTTTATTATAACTTGATTAGACTAACCTCAAATCTTAAAATGCCTCAGAAGTATTAGTTAATATATTCCTAGCGTAACTCACAGAATGATTTGTCACCTGTCCTGGTTAAGCCAAGCTATTCTTACTTTCAAAATGCTAAATTACAACTCTATCTTTAAATATAATATTAAATATAAACAAATATGAATACATTCCTTAAGTAGGTGCTTTGAAACCCATTTCCAAATAAATCTTAATTTCACAAACCCAGTTTTTCTAGTTCAGTTATAGAAAAAAATTCTTTCTTCCTAAATCTTCAAGGTAAGGCCTCTAACCTAACAAGCAGCTATTAAGTCTTAAGAACACTTCATCGTTGGCTAGTTCACTGTAAAAGACTGAGGCATATGGTGATAATACTAATGATGACAACGACTGGGTTAATTTAACGTACCGAATTTTAAATATTCTAGAATGTCAAAATTACCACTTCCTGGACTTGGTGCTTTGGAAGGAAGGCTGCGTCACAGTGTACTCTTAACAGACAAAGAATCTGCCACTCCCTGGGCAGGAAGAACCTTGGTTGCTGGTCATGACTGATCAGAGGTACTGTGAGCTCTCCCAGCTCAGTAACTGCAGCAACCCAATTCCTAGGTGCATTTCAGATCTTCTCTTCTTTCCACTCAACCCCAGCCACAGAGAACTACTTGAAACGTGGCTAACTACCTACTTTCAGTTGTTTCAACCACCACCCAATATTTCTGAGAAAAAGTTCAGAGAAACTTTGTTCAATTACTATTCATTAACTATGGTATTGTTTTTTTAATACACTTTAGGCACATCTGCTATTGCTCAGTGCTTCTGTAATACAATCCTATCTTAAGAAGAAAAGATAGGAGGATCATCTAGCTTCTAAATAACCTCAATGTTGCTGACTCAAATGTAATTATTTACTATATTCTTATTTCTTGGAGATGAGTGAATTGTTGTATTAATACAGCACATTTAAATTTACCTACTACTCCTTCGTTTGTTTTTTATTCTAATGTAGGATTTTTACATTAATTCTCAATTACTTTATAATAATTCTATACAACATGTGTAACTCCAAAGTCACCTGACACCAACATACCTTCTTTTTAAAAGTAGCCAAAAATATGTTGGGTAATACAAATAGCACCCTAACTGGACTCCTTTAAAAAGTGAAAATTGTAACATCACAAATTACCCTGACGTTTTCAAATACCTGGGCAAAAGTAGACTGTATGTTGCTGTTTTTCCCAATAACATCTAGTACCCTTTGTTAAAACCTAACAAGGTAATCTAAAATTAGTAGGAAATCTTTAGCAGACACAAAAGATGAGAGATGAAACTGCAGCAAGAGAGCATGGCAAATCCAAAAGGTCTAGTAGTGCATAAATCTGGAAAAAAAACAACAACAACAAAAGAGATAGAAAGAATTAACAAGATACAATAATAAAAGTTATGTCTTTAAAGCAGTAGATTATAACAGGGTGGGAAATGTTTAATATGTGTCCTCCTGAAAAGTAGTTACTATCTTTTAAATTAAAAAAAAAAAAAAAAACAGCTGGTATATTTTCACAGCATCTAGATTTATTTATGGTATAAAGCCATAGAATTGTAATACTATTATTACTCCTTTCCCACCCTGGCAGAGAATAAACATGAATTCAGAAGCACAGTGGAGTGAAAACAAAGAAGAGGAGAGAGAAAAGGCAGCAGAGAAAGACAGAAAAGGTGAATACAGAGCTACAGAAGTGTTTATTGAGCATGCTACAGAGGTAAGCAGAGTACACACAAAAGGAAATTAAACAACCATCAAACCTCCCAACTTTGTTAGAAAATTAATTTTTAATTGTGCCGCTTTCAAACTATACTGAATTTTACATTTCTAAAGATGTAAAAACTCAACTAATAGAAAATATACATGACCATTCTGTCTACATAGATAACAGAATCTATGAATCTTGAAACTAAGTACATCAATTTCAAAAAGTATTGGTCATTTAAACAGAATCAACAATTCGGGTTGACAAGAACTGTTCAAATTAATTTGACCTGTAGATTCTGAGCCATGTTTTTATTAAAGTCAGATCTATTCCTAAATACAAAATATTTTGAAGATTTATTAAAACTGAATATTACAATGCAAGGTAAATTAAGACTAAAGGCACATAAACTTTGGTCCCACCTGGTTGTCAGTTTTAGAAAACTGCCACAAAATTAATCTTCCTGCAAATTTTCGCAGTACACTTTCTTTATCTTTGAAAAATACATGCACCAGTTCCTGAACTAGCTAGACCAGTCTGCACATGCTCAGAAATCCACAACCATATTCCAAATCTTAATTACAAACTAAGGATGGCAATATATATTTAAATGCACGTAAGTCATGTCAACTTCAAAAACATCTACGAAAAATATTCAGCCACAAACAAGACATTACTTAGTGCTGACATTTATATGATACGTCCCACAAGAGTGTGTACAAAAAGGTTAAGATTCCACAATGCTTTCCACATAGGGCTCAAACTTACAGAAATCACTTTGTTGTCTTAAGAAATTAATACTCTGCATCTTGTTAATTTTAACTAATGCCTACATTCATAACTGAATCTAGACCAGAATTGTGAGATACAAAAGGCCAATGTTTTTTTAAAGCAATAAAGCCTAAGGTAGTAAAAACTAAAAAATGCTGCTTTAATTCTCTCAGTATCATGTATCTTATTTGATTAAATAGAAAGAAATGTGACAAGCCAATAATTCAAAATAAGTTCCAAGCAGGAGAAACAAAAACTTAACCTTTTTACACACCCCTGCCTAAACATATTGTAATTCCCATATAACAATGTGCCCTAGACAACCAATTCCTTTTTCCTAGTAAATGCACAATAGCAACACTAGTTTTCCTTTTTAAGGCACGTATGTCAACTAAGTTGAAAAAGGAAAGTATAATTAAACTAAAATTTTAAACAGACAATAAAAATGGCTTCCCTATAGAACAGATGAAATCTAGCAGTTAACAACTCTGCCTTTATGTATGCCATTTCATTTTATAACCAAGGAATGATAACAGCATGAAAGAAAAGGAAACAACAACAACAAAAAAAATCAAACTCTGGTCCCCACTTTTCTGAACAGTCAATAGGTGATGACACCAATGTGATACACCCTCAATCTTCACCTCCCCCCTTTTAAATTGTTGACTTGGAGAAAGACACTCTCAGATGGTGGTTTTCACCAAGGTTATAATTATGAAGATCAATCAAGGCCTGGATAGCTTCTTCCACTGTTGCCATCTGAAGAAGAGCCATTTTGTGATCTCTTCTGAAACAAAATTATCAAGTTAGATACATCATAATAATTAGAAAGGGCTTAAATACTTGAATTTTTGCCCACTACAGAACCAAATATTTCCATAAACAAAAAGAACAAAAACTACTTGAAGAAAACTTTAAAGATAAGAAAGCTTGCTTACTGAAAAAACTTAAATGCTTTCACAGTGCCCCCAGTGTTAGCAAACAGTGTTCGTAGATCCTCTTCTGCTACTGAAGGACTAGGAAAATTGGATGGAAAAAAAAGATTAATAATAATTTTCAAATTTTATTCCTAAAGTGTATGCCCATTTAAAAATCTCCAGCTTTAATACTTACGGGATATTGGATAGGTGTAGGGTTGCAGAAGGAGGAAAAATGTTCTGAAAATTTTTGGATCCAGGTTTCTTAAAACGATGCAATGGGGAATTACCAAAATCCTTTGTTAGCCCTTGATCATCAAGTCCCTCTCGAGGTAGTTGTACAGTCTGATGTTTAGACAGAGTAACACGAATAATCTTGCCATACATTTTCTGTCCATTAAGATGGTTCATGGCTATAAAAAGAAGAAAAAATGCCTATTAAAAAACAATATTAAAGTTAAAAAAATTTCTTTTGGAATAGCTGAAATAACTAGATTCTATGACTTTTAAAAAAATCTTTTTGTTTTTAAGCTTCTAGAGGCAGAGAGGCTCCATGCTGACAGTGTGGGGCTTGAACTCACGAACCATGAGATCTCGACCTGAACCAAAACCAAGAGTCGGACACTTAATCTGCTGAGCCACCCAGGTGCCAAGACTTTTAAATAAATCTCTTAAGTTTTCAACAGTCACTGGTGATATGATTTAAATTTATTTGCGCTAGACAAGCATTTTAGCAAAAAAGCAAGTTTCTTTCACAGAATGAAAATCCTCATTATGAATCTCTGTTCCTTGCCAAAACTGCTGATAAACCATGTACTTAGATGCCACAGAAAGAAACTTTGTACTCATCTGTAACTTCTTTCTCTTCTACCCCATAACTGCCAAGTCCTACCGTACTCCTTTTTCTTCCTAATTATCTCTCAATTCTCTGCTTTTCACAGTCACAATGTTTTGATCTGTGTCACTCTGTCTCCCAATTTGTCTTCCTGCTGGATTTTTCTCTACTTTTTTTGAATGCATCCTATTACACAGACAGCTGGATGACCTCTATAAATTGCAAATTTCATGTTATTATCTGCTTAAAATCCTTAGGGCCAGACTAGGGGAGGTATAAAGCCATGTTGAAGAATGAATTTGGACTATATCCTCATCTCCCCAGCCTCTCTGAACATATTTATCGATGATACAATACCAATTACTTTGTTAGTGCTAGAATTAAGTGGTAAGACAAGAACCATCTCACCCCTCTTGGAACTTCCAGTACTTTAGTACTGTAAAACTTCCAGTATTTTAGTACTGTACTCTCCGAACTTTAAGCTCCAGCTATACAAAACTATCTCCTTCAAGTGCCAGTTTTTCTTACCTTTAGACCTGTCTGCATGCTGTTCTATCTACAGTAATTTCTCATCTCATCTGATTCATTATCCCTCGTAGTCTTTCTCTTTGTTCTTCTCTGGAAAGGGTTCATATTCCCCATGCAGTACTCTTTTCTTTTTAAGTTTATCACTTTTTAAATTTATCACAATTTATTTATCTAACTCCTCTTTCTCCCGACTGCAAAGTACATGAAGGCAGGAACCTGGGTCTCTATCCTAGCACACAGTACAGTGCCTAAACACAGAACATCACATGCCTACTTTCTGAGGTAGTAGTTGGGTTATTTTTACACTAAACAAACTGGTCTGAGGTTACAGAACAGTTATATGTTTTTATTCACTAGTCACAAGAACTTATGACCATTTTATAAGTCATATACTTTAAAGGAAGGTCCGATGTGACTACTCAAAGTATTAACAGCAGAGAGATAAAGGCAAGGTGGAAGAGTAGGGAAATGAAAACAAAATCCCTACTCACAATGTTACTTAATTTGACTAATATACTACATAGTCTGACACCAAGATATGTAGAATTTATTAAATCCAAGCATCTTTTCACACTTGTATAGAATATAAACAGTTCTGTAAAGAAAAATGCTATAGAAGTATAAGGTACCATTCAGAAAAGAATTAAAAGTAAATTCTTATTTCCCATACAACTTCCCTAATTTGTAAAAACAAGTTTACTCTTTCCAATTGTTTTACTGCAGTGTTATGTATTTGTGATTTTTTCTTCTTTAGATTTGCAACTGAGGCCAACAGAGGAAAAAATCTCTCGGGCCTGAATTCTTTCTCACTAGTTTTACGGCACTTCACATATATTTCTAAATTTTCACTTACAAAATCAACTGAATTATTCATAGAAATGGTACATAAACTCCTTTTAGAAAACTTATTTGCATTATAAAATATTTTCAAAGTTCTATAATTCTGTTTTAGGTGAACAGTAATTTGCTTATGATAAAGTGCTATTACATCATACAAAGAACGTGTTATAAGGAATTAATCTGGGAATGAAGTGGTATAAAGAAGTAGAATAAGGTTGTTGTAAGAAAGCTATCCTTAGTTCAGCTTTGAAAAGCCATGAAAAGACTGCATAAACAGCTGAGCTTTGAGATACTGAAGAACAGAAATAAGAAAACAATAAAAAATCCTAGGCATAATTCCTGCACCAAGAGGAGATGGAGAATAGAGAAGTGGGATTAAAATAAAGCAAAATAATCAAAAACTTATCTCTAGAAGTAGTCAGGTAATGAGAAGTATGTCTAGCCTGCTGACTTGACAAAACAATCTGAAGTAATATGAAGTGGATGAGGGCTGAAGTTGAGGGTAGAATATCAGGGTTTTTAAATATTCAAAAAAAAAAAAAACTTGTCAAATACTAAAGCATACATAATGATTAAACAAAAAACAAGAGTATTTGAATTACTAAGATGAAACAAGTTTAAATAATGGGACTATAATATCTTGAAATCTGTTAGGAGAAATATGACATAAATGGACAAAACAATCAATGATAAAAGAGAAAAAAGCCAATGCTGCACAGTGGAAATGGCACTTTGGATTGAGTATAATTTTCTACTTTTCCCTTAATCTCTGAAGAAGATATTAAAGAATAATGAGAAGTTAAAAGATGGTAAAAAAAAAAAAATTATAGATACAGGAGTTGTTTATATGTGGAACTGGAGCAATGCAACAGTTATACCCTTTATAATTCAAAAAACTATTTGTGTTTGCCTCTCTTATTCCAAAAAATGGAAACATCCACTTGTCTACTTTATTAATCTACTCAAAAACCCAGCTTCTAGTTTTTTGTTCTTTCTCTCAACTGTCTTCTATACCAGTGATTTCTAGTCTTGTCTTTATCTTCTTTCCTTGGGTTTACACCATCATTCTTAAAGTTAACCTATCAAAACACAGGATCCACTAAGGATCCTGTCCTTAGAAGAAGAGGAAGAGAAACCCAGAGAACTCAGAGGAAAGGGCGTGGGAGGAGACATCAAGAAGGTGGCCATTTGCAAGCCAGGAAGAAAGCCCTTATCAGAAACTCAACCTACTGGTACCCAAGAAAATAAAGATCTGTTGTTTAAGCCACTCTGTGGTATTGTTTTAATAGCACAAACTGATGTAAGTATAGTAAAGGTTAAAATGTCACTTATTTAATTACTATTTAGTCATTATATATATAAAAAAAAAAAAACCCCAGAAGAATTTGATTAAATTCTACCTCAGGTAATTCTTAACCCTGATGACTGTATATACTTCACATGAGGGTAATGTCACCCACAGCTCACACAGTGATGAGAAAAAAATAAACATTTAAGAAATGTTTTCTAAAATGCGACTTACAATGTACATAAAAGCAATGGCCACGACTACCATTACCAGAACACAGAAGTATCCACAACAGAGGAAGAAAAAGATTTACTAGGAACCTAGAACATGATTAGCACTTTTTATATATCCTTCTTTAACGATGGCTATCTCCATTTTAAAAAGTGGAGAGGCAGATGTCTAGTCTTATATATTGTCTGAGACCATGAAAGCCAGTAAGAAATAATAAAATTCAAATTTACTTCTGATACCAAGTCAAAAGGTCCGTATATCATGTTCAAGTTTATGAGATTCACTGGGTATAAGAGCAAAAATATACTAGTCCTTACGTCATAAGTGACAAATTTCAAAATTAACAATGTGAAAACAACCAACTTGAGGCACTAGCATTCCTGAATCTCAATGAAAAGAATTACAAGCTAAAGATCTTACTGATATTTACAGTCTTATCACACTGTGAAAGTGCAGTTGTATTCCAGATTTATGGGATCTGACTTAGTGTACAAAGGCAAATGATAACGTAATAAAAATATTTACCTAAGATAAGAATGTAAGTGTAATCTGACTAAAGTACATTTAAGATACCAAAAGGGATTAACAGTGGTGTACTGTATGTGGCACAAGCTTCACTTTGTAAAAACCTACTACTCCTAAAATACATTTTCCAAGTGACTCTTTATTATTAAGTTTAGGCAAAAATCTAGAGGAATTAAGATAACACTGCATAAATCAGGATGCCATGGACTATATTAACAGTTAACTTCTATCCCAGGGAGTAACTAGGAATGAAAAACACTAAGGATCTTTAATATAAATGTCATGATTCTTATGTGAAATTGTTATTGCAATTTCAGAGCCCAAACCTTTCTCCATTGGATTGTACTTGAGGAATGGTTAAGAGGACAGTAGAAAACTGCAAACATATTCATCACGTGTAATGACTCACATTAAAATACAAAACTTAATGTGCCATTTTGAGCCTTGGCTATCCTAAATAAATAAATAAGTAAATAAATGTTTCTTACTGCCATAAAGGGGTTTGTTTTTACTAACAGATTCAGATTTAAACATGTATGCGTAACTGTTTAACCTTACCAAGTTGCGATTGGTTTCCATCAGCCATCTGTATCAGAGCACTGTCTTTCTTATTGTACAAAATCTTCACACGCTGCACATCTCCATAAACACCTTTTTTGGAGTCACAGAGAGGTAATCCAAAAATGGAATTAATGTTACATGCAAGTCAGCTGAAGATTATCTTTCTGACATATTAATGAAACATTCAGACATCAACATGATCACTCATTCAAACTCATCATTCTCACAAATGAATAAAGAAGATCAAGATTTTGAACAGTGAATTTTGAAAAGAATAATTTTTGATAAACCCTCAAAGCTATGTGAATGATATTAAATTAAAGACCATGCAAAATAAATCAGCATGCATTAAAACAAATTTTGTGTCTATGGAGAGTTTTAAATAGCAAAGAAAAATAGCAAAAGATTTACTATTCAACTTTAAGCCAAAGTGCTAGCTACAAATAAGAATTAAGGTGAAACAAAAATCAAATCAATAATAAAAGTATAGTGCTAACAATAACATACCGAAGAGGGTAAACAGACTTTGGGGCGTAACCATCTTTAGAAGGAGAGAAGAGCAAGCAGCGTAAGACAAGAAGAGAGAAGAGTCGAGGAAGAGCGGAGATGAACAGATCATCCATAACGAAGGGTGGTTCCCGCAGAATGGTGAGGTGGTCATGGATCATGGTTCAAGGCGGTTAATTGGGGCAAGTTGGTCCGAGGAACATTTGTTCAAGCACAGAAGCATGAACATAGGGAATGGAGACAGGGAATGAAGACAAGGACAAGGAAAATAAAGGATAAGACAGGGAAGGGAATGGGCATTTGGGAAAAGACAAGGAAAGGGAAGGTGAACACACAGGGAAAAGGATGAAATGGGGAAGGGAAACAGCAATGCAGAAGAAAAAAATAAGGAATTGGGGAACAAAAAAAAAATAAAATATAGGTCAGTACATAGGAAATGCAGGAATTTGGTCAGAAAATGGTTGGTTTATGTACTGTACAAGAAAAACTGAGTAAAATGTAGTCATCCAAGACAAATATGGGTAAAGTACATCTATATCAAAGAGTAAATTACAGCATTTCATCTCAACATAGGGAAGGAAAGCATGCACAGGAATTTTAAACTTTGAACTTTAACTGCATAAGCATGGCTGGTTATGAAATGCAGGCAAAATTCTTAAAAGAAAAACAAAGGCACTCTGATTCAAACATTTTAGCATGCAGAACTGTGAATGACAACAGTATTAAATGATAAACTTAATGTTCGTATTAACAGAGGCCAATTAAAAATGAACAAATATTCAAATTAGATATTGTAAACTGATAATACTGAGCTTCCCACATTTCATACCAGCTTTCATAGCAATCAAAATAAAATATACCAGACATAAAATGTACAACTAAAGAAAATAACTCGGCAATAAATTTTATTTAACAAGGGGGAAGGGGAATAAAGTTGAAAAATATTTTTAGAAGACAATGACTAATAACTGCAAAGAAAAAATTACTAAGAAAGACTGGAAGAGTGCCTCGTCAAGATCTTTGGAAGAACCTTCAAAGAAAAATGTATTAGAGTAGTTCACATAAAATAAGATTTAAAAAAATGCAATGACACATAAGCATGAAATGAACAAGCAAATAATTAGAAAAGGCAAAGAACAAAATTGCTTTACAGTTAAATCTGCAAATTAGATCACATTTGCCTTTGAGAACAACAAAAATAAAAAGCCATACTACAGTACTTCACCATATTTTTCTTAGGAAAAATAGGTAGTTAGATTAAAATAATAATAATAATAATATAATAAATATATATATATAAAGAGATATGACTGTCTAAAGAAATATTACCTAAACAAATACATAGATTTTATTCAGAAATAGAAACATACAGAAAATACTTTGACTAATGAATGTACATAAAAAGAAAGGCAAGTGCAAAATGAAATAAACATGAGAAACTTTCACAAATGAAATGGAGTTAAAGAATAAACATCACAAAATTATTTTACTAACCTCTTCATTTAAATTGCTAACCAACAGGACTGTATTGCCACCAGCTGAGACTCCAGGCATACCCACTCGGCCAGCAGCAGCTGCAGCAGCTGCTGCAGCAGCATTTGGAATAGCCAAAGGACTCAGAGCTCCTGGAACAGCTGCAACAGGAAGCCCTAATTTTAAAATAAAGCATATTTTACGAAACACACACAAGTCGTTTACAAAAACCAATTTAAGCACGAAGGCTGCATGGCTTACGGCTGACCATTCCAAACGGTTCCTGAAAGTTAATTTTTATAACACTTAGAAAAATGGTGTGCTGACAATGTATCAGTTAGAGAAAATTAACTGGTTTCAATGAAATCATTAAATATTAGGGCTAAGGTACATACCTGCAGTATCTTAAAAAATTAAACATACCATATTCCATCTCCTATGGAAAAGCAAACGAAGCATAAAGGATATAATATTTCTAAGTCAGAGACTTGAAAAATTCACTTCCATGGTTGACAGCAAGTAGCCACATCTAAAATACGTATCTTCAACATAATAGTGACTCACTTTTTTCTCCAAGTGCTATCATCTTCATAAACTCATACTTGAAATCAGACAGCTAGAGCTTATGAAACAAACATAGTAAGTCCTTCACTGCTTGGAGACCTATCACCCTGAACATCATTATTTCATTTCAAATGACTTAAAGAAAATCTTACCGAAGTTTATTTGCCTTAATTCCACATTCAAGTAGTTATAATGAACACATTTCCTCAACAGAAAGAATGAGAAAATTTCACTGTATCCACAAAGGCTTTCTCCTTTGCCTACCAGTTTTAACATTTCCTTCTCATTTCTATTTTCCAGTCTTACTGTTGTTTTATCACCTTTAAAATATGCCAGTCTTTATTCTAGAGAGAATTCTTTTGTCTCAGCATCTTTTACCCACATTCCAATTAAAAGAATGAACTCGAAACCTTTCACCCCTTAAATTCTTACATACCAGCTGATTTCTCAATACATATTAGTTTGCTAATAATGAAGTGAATTGTATGTTGCTTTTCTTCTTCCCACGAAAAAGAAAACATCCAATGTACGTGAAGTTTAATTCATGACATACCTGGATAGAAATGGCCCTTTGTACTGTTGTCCCATAAGTTCATGTTTTACTTCTTCTTTTCTCTTTCCACCAGCCTTCTTGTCTATGTCATAAGGATGTGCTGTTGCTTTTGGTTTCAGATCTCTTAATACTTTAGTCAGGATTTTTAAAAAGTCTTTATACTTTACAGAAACTATGATGGCCTTTCATTGACAGTTTAAAAGGTTAAGACTCATAATTCTTAATCTCTTCTGTTTTTGACTTATAATTTTCCCATGAATTTTTTTTTCCTCTTCTGAGCACTCCAACAGTGGAATATTTTTCTCAACCTTTTTGTGGATAAGCTTATTTTAGTGCTTTTTGCCAGCTTTTCGAGATTTCCCCTTTTTCTTATTTCTCCATTTTCTTTTTTAGATTTTACTTTTTGTTATGGAAAATATCCAACATAAAGAAAAGAGAGAGAGCGCAACTAGAATGTAGAAATCCTACATACCCATCACACTGGCTAACAATTATTAACTTATGGCCAATCTTGTTCCATCCACTCACCCATTTTACTTTTAAAACAGAAACTTCTCACGTCTTTGATGGCTTTATGGATCCTCCAGTGTGAATCTTTTTAACCAATTATTCTAGAATGTTACAAACTTCCCCATGTTAAATAATAACTCTCTGGTTACACTTCATAGGTTGTTTAACGTTCAATGGATACCTTAATATGCTGCCAAAGGCAAGTAATAGTGATATACTCCCAATTGTTAGACATGCACTCACAGTAATTTTGTTTTTGCATACTCTTAGAAAGTGACCCCTCCTCTTTTCTTTAAACAGTATTTCTTAAGTATTACCAGATAGCTGTGGCTGAATGTACACACCATTCAACTAAAGTTGACAACACAATTATTTCATACGGGCAGAAACTCCAGATGCGGGCATTACACTGTCAAAATATTTCCTTATTTCCTTGCCTTTAACTGGCTGCTTTCCAGTGGAAAAAGTAACTTAAAATTCTGTTAAGATTCTTGGTCTTAATGGGATCCAGTCCACGGCCCAAAACAAATACCATTGACAATACGTGGCATGCAGAAGAGTTCAGTATCAACCCTCAAAAACTCCCTTTTAGGAATAAAATACTTAAAAAAAATCCATCAAGATTATTTAAGAACAGCTCTTTCCACCAAAAACTAAATCAGTTTAATTTCTGGTTTCTCAATTCTACCAGACAAGAAATGATTTTCAGGGCCCACTAAGCCAGAAAAATTTAACTGAAGAACTAGTAAGTTACCAACATTAATATAAAAATTGTCCTATTCCCTAGATTTTCCCTGTACATCTCTACTCTTTACTGCCATCTTGTTCATTAAAATACTCTTATCTACTAGAATTGTCTAGAACTTTGTATCCCACACTGAAAATGTTCTTAATTTTTTGGTCTCAGGACCCCTTTATACTCTTAAACTTTACTGAGGACCACAAAGAGCTTTTAAATGGGTTATATTTAACATATCAGAAATTAAAGCCAAGGACTGTTTTAAAAAGAACAAGAACACATGATCACCTATTCTATTAGCCATTAAAGCAATATATACTAGTGAGAATAAGAGTTGTAAAACAATATTTTAGTACTGTCATGAATATAATGTTCTGACTTTGTTAGACACCCTAAGAGGGTCTCAGGGGCTTCCAGAGATATTTAGACATTTTGTGAACCATTGCCATGTATTCTTGGTATGATACTTTGTACAGGTGTGATTCTCAATAAATAAGGAATAGAAAAAAAAAGATTTCACTTCAAAGAAAATGCTGTAATATATAATGAATATATGTACATACATACATATATATATATACTAAGAATGAGACATGCAATAGATTACAGAGTACTGACACTTGCAGAATTAAGTCTGAAGTCATCTATTACTCACTCGCCTTTCCTTGTTGACATTTCAAGCAAAATTCATGAAATCTAAAATATCAACATAACTAAATTCAAAATATAAACCTAAACATGACAGTCTAAGCTTAATTTCATTTTTGCAAAAAAGCTTCTTCTGAAATACATCTCTACAATGTCGATATACAATTCAATGATCTAATGAAAACTTCACCAAAATATTCAAAGGTGACAGAAAATGTGTTCAATGAAACTTCATTCAAGACATAATTGTTTCGAAATACATTTCTTACTGAAATCTGGAGGTTACAATGGAGTAACCTGGTAGCACAATATTTAAAACATTAAGACTTATCATGGAAAAATGACCACTGAGAATTAAAAGAGATTTGAAATTAACTTATAAAATGGTAATTGAAAATTAAAAATCTAGGCTAGAGTCTTTTTTTAGTGTGACAGATCCGAGAGACTTTTTTTTCTTAAATGCCAGGGAATGCCATTTTGTAATAAACAACATTGCACTTTGGTAAAAATAAGATTGCTAATTTTCTAGTGAGAAAATAGGCTCAAAGGAGATGCAATTTACCTCCTAATAAAGAGGTAATGGGAAGCTTAACAAAAAATGGACCGTAAGCTGTGAGATCCTCGCTGTTGTTACTACTACCCAAATTACATCTCCCCACTTTTCCATTTCTTATCACTAACCCGGGCCACTGTGCTGTGGCATGTGATATGTTATTCTGCCAAATTATCTTTCTTCACTTCAGGCAGCCCAGGGTATGGTGTAAGAGTACTTTAAGAGATAAGGGAAGTCTGTCCTTAATACCACTAGCAAGTAGTTCTCTTCCACTGTACCCTCCCCCAGGCTGGTAACTTAGAAATGCTTACTTAAGCCATCTAATTTACACACTTCTAAAATCACTGGAATTAGTCTTGAGTTTTTACTGGAATTTTAAAGTCTCTAATGGCAGATTCTACAATTAATTTCTCCGTATACTCTTCTCTGAAAAATTACTGTCAATAAGGAAAAAAATTAAGTTTAACTTGTCTTTTATATTAAAAACAACCTACAAAATATTTCATAATGTACTATTTATTTACACCATGATAAATCTGAAAAATAATTCTGTATTGTATTTTTCATATTAATGTTAACTCCTAATTGTAAGTCAATAAATTTACTATCTTACCTTTGTAAATATTATGTTAAACGTGTTATATACCTTGACTCCAGTAAATTATTTTCAGTTGTATAAATACTTTTAATTTTAATGATTTACAACTTTAGCTAAGGCAGCAGGTATGCTGGGAAAAAAACACTGATGTATGTTGATAAGAGATTTAAAAAATGCCTATTCTACTTCTAGGATTGTGGCAAGGATAATATAATGTCAAAGCACTTCATAAACTGCCATACAAAGGTATCACAGGGATCATATTTCCATATGAAGTGACCTTCATCAGGTGTGTCACCCATGTATTTTGAGCTGACTCAGCAATTTTATAGATTTCTCATGTTCTGAGACATTATTATTACTAACCCTTCCACTAATGAAATGAATACACAGACATGTATATGATATAGATTCAAAGTCCAGTGGGATGAAGTGACGTAACTTATTTATCTTAAGGTCACATAGACATCGTTAATTTTGCCCAGAAAAATTAAAAAAAAAATAAACTGTTTTTGTTAACTTACTTTAAATCATTTATAAATTTATGGATTTTAATAAGGCTTATATTTTAGAACAGTTTTAGATTTACAGGAAAACTGACGCTTCTACAGAGTTCCTGCCTACTTCCTTTTCCCCCTAATTATCAACATCTTACATCAGTAGAATTGTTGTGATTAATCAACTAATATTGATATATAACCATCAACTAAAGTCCAAACTTTCGTCAGATTTCCTTGATGTGCATCTAATATTCTTTATTGTTCCAGGAGCCCATATTACATTTAGTCATGTCTCATCTCCTTAGGCTTCTCCTGACTTGTCCTTATGGCAATTTTACCCATGATTTTTAAGGATGCAGAATTTGTTTTATTCCTTCATTTCTGATTCTAAATCTTCTATCCAAAGTCAATTACATTATTTCTTTTGGTCTTCTTTATCCTGTTCAGTATCTGGTATTGTAAGTCTCACATACTGCTGAACAGCGTACATCGGAGGGACCTTCTAATTCAT